AAAAAAAAAAAAAAAAAAGGCATGAGAAAAACATTATTTAACAAACCTTAAGACTTAATAAAAAAATTTTGATATTTTGCGTATGAAAGCATTGTAAGATTTATCGATAATCTGCCAAATTTCGTTAACATTCGCTTACTAATTAAAAAGTTATAGTGTGAAAACTATAACAAGCACAAAATGGTTATGAGGTCAGTCCCAGGTACCAAGCCCGTGCTGAAAGAGTTAATAGCTAATTTCATTAATACAAACAAGAATTAAAACAGTAATGATCAAGTACTTTTAAAGAGGTCATAAACAGGATTTCTTTCCTAAAATTTAACACACATTAGATGCCACAAGAAACTGAAAATAAATAATTAAGAAAGAAGTTAAAGCAGTTACCTCTTTCCCAAACAAGACGTGGATGATGTCAAACTTGTGCCTTGAATCACATTCAGTTTATTCCAAACCTGGCCTTCGCATCCATGTAATTAGACATTTAAAATTTATTTAATCATTACTGACAGTAATGTATCAGCTCAAACAAAACTGTGGTGCAAATAAAAATTCAAACTTTACACCTTTGTATGAATATTTTATCATAATATTTTCATTGTTAACCTTTTCTGTTTTTATTATTTGGACTTTAAAACACTAAGGAAAGATACACATCAAAAAGAACTAAATTACTTGATAATTTTGAGTTACTGTTAATGATTTATCATTTTTAAGTACATACTGATTAACATTGTTTTTATATTGGATTATGGCTTAATTTATTGTTCAATAATTTTGGTTTTACAATTTTAACATAATTATTTACTCTTAACATCCAGTCTGCAAGTCAGAGAGACATGTTTGATAGGTTGATTCCAAAACAAAGCTTTCTGGCAGAGATACAAACTCCTTGTAATATCTGGTATCTAAGTTACTTACCCATACTCCCATCCAAAATACAGTAGTGGTTGCACCTCTTGTACAAGACCTGGTTCCTTGGCTTTATAAAGCTGTATCTTCCATAGCTAAGGAAATCTCATCAAACTTTATTTACCATTGTAAGGTGGCTAAATGCTCTACCTGAACTTTCTGCTATTTTGTCCAACCAACCACTAAACTCTGCATCTTTGTAGCCAAACACTAATGAGAAGCAAGTGACAATTACTCAAACTCAATCCCACTGACTTACAGACTGGATGTCAAGAGTAAATAATCAAACACGTCCCACTGACTTACAGACTGGATGTCAAGAGTAAATAATCAAACATGTCCCACTGACTTACAGACTGGATGTTAAGAGTAAATAATCAAACATTTCCC